AAAAAAAAAAAAAAAAAAAAAAAAAAAAAGATTTAATGAAACAAAAAGCTGGTTCTTTGAAAGATTAAATAAAATCGATAAGCCCCTAGCTAACTTCATGAAAAAGAGGAAAGAAAAAACTCAAATACAAGCAATAAGGAATGAAAAGGGTGTAATTACCAGAGACCCAGTGGAAATTCAGAAGATTATCAGTAGCTACTTTGAGAATCCTTACTCACAGAATAGAAGACACAGAAGAAATGGACAGATTCCTAGACTGGTGAAATTACCAAAGTTGAATCGACAAGATATAAGAACTCTCGATAGCCGAATAACAGCCAATGAAATACGAAATGTAATTAAAAACCTACTGACAAAGAAAAGTCCAGGTCCGAATGGAGTCACAGCTGAATTCTACAAGACATTTACAGAAGATGTAGTCCCTATACTCCTCAAACTCTTCCATGAAATTGAAAAGGAAGCAATTCTCCCAAAAACATTCCTAGAGGCAAGTATTATACTGATACCAAAACCAGCGAAAGACACAACTAAGAAAGACAACTACAGTCCTATCTCCCTCATGAACATAAATGCAAAAATCTCAATATAATCCTAGCAAATAGAATACAGCAGATCATCAAGAAGATCATACACCATGACCAGGTAGGATTCATCCCAGGGATGCAAGGATGGTTCAATATTCGAAAATCTATCAATGTAATACACTATATCAATAGAGCGAAAACTAAAAAAACCACATGATCATCTCCATTGATGCAGATAAGGCTTTTGAAAAAGTCTAACACTCATTCATGTCCGAAGTCCTACAGAAAATTGGAATAGATGGCCTCTACTTCAGTCTGGCTAAAACCATTTATGAAAACCCAACAGCTAACATAATTCTAAATGGGGAAAAACCGAAATCTTTTACTCTTAGATCGGGTACAAGAAAAGGATGTCCTCTATCACCCCTACTCTTCAATGTAGTTCTGTAATCATTAGCTAGAGCCATTAGACAAGAGAAAGAAAAGGAATAAGAATAGGTAAAGAAGATGTTAAATTATCATTGTTTGTAGATGACATGATACTTTACTTGGAAGACCCAAAAAACTCCACAAAGAAGCTATTAGAATTAATACAGAAATTCAGTAGCATAGCAGGATACAAATCAATACACAAAAGTCAATAGCATTCCTCTACACAGATGACAAACACACTGAGAGGGAAATTATAGAAACAATACCTTTTACAGTAGCACTGAGGAAAATGAAATACCTTGGAGTTAATCTAACTAAAGAAGTCAAAGATCTTTTCAAGGAAAATTACAGTATTCTTAAAAAAGAGATCGTAGAGGATTTCAGAAAATGGAAAGATATTCCATGCTCGTGGATAGGAAGAATCAACATTGTGAAGATGGCCATACTCCCCAAATTGCTATATAGATTTAATGCAATCCCCATCAAACTACCAGCCTCATACTTCACAGAGCTAGAGAAATCATTCTTAAAATTTATTTGGAACCAGGAAAGACCTAGAATAGCAAAGGCAGTCGTGGGCAATAAAGACAAAGCAGGAGGCTTTACAATTCCTGACCTAAATTATACTAGAAGCCTACTGTGGTAAAATCATCATGGTACTGGCAACAAAATAGACCTGAGGATGAGTGGAATAGATTAGAAGACGCTGAAGCCCCTACAAACACACTCAGCCACCTTATCTTTGAGAAAGGGGCCAAACATACTCACTGGAAGATAGATAGCCTCTTTAACAAATGGTGCTGGAAAAACTGGCTCTCTACATGCCGAAAACTCAAACTTGACCCAGGTATATCACCATGCACTAAGCTAAAGTCGAAATGGATTAAAGATCTAAACATTAAAACAGAAACAGTAAATCTCCTGGAAGAGAAAGTAGGAAGAACTCTTGAAGAAATAGGGGTAGGCAGAGTTGATGAACAAAAATCAAATTGCACAGGAAACAGTTGAAAGAATTAACAACTGGGATCTGCTCTTATTGAGTTGTTTTTTTCATGTCAAAAGAAATTACCAACAAAGTGAAAAGACAACGTACAAATTTGGAAAAAATCATGACAAGTAAGTACTCAGACAAAGGCTTGCTCTCTAGAATTTATAAAGAACTAGAAAACACTAGGGCCCCAAAATTTAAAAACCTAGTCCAGAAATGGGCATCTGAGATGAACACACACTTCTCAGAGGATGAAATTAAAGAAGCGAATATATATATGAAAAAATTTTCCACATAGCTAGCCATCCATGAAATGAAAATTAAAACAACACTGAGATACCATCTCACCCCAGAAAGAATGGCTATCATAAAGAATTCACCCAACAACAATTGTTGGAGAGGCTGTGGGGAAAAAGGAACCCTTCCCCACTGCTGGTTGGAATGTAGACTGGTGCAACCATTATGGAAATCAGTGTGGAGACTCCTTAGAAAATTTGGACTGGAAATCCCAATTAATCTAGCTATTCCTCTCCTGGGAATTTTCCCAGAGAATCTGAAAACATCATATCGTAGTGATATATATGTGCTGTGTTTATAGCAGCACAATTTGTGATAGCCAAATCTTGGAAACAACCAAGACGCCCATCACCTGAGGAATGAATGAAAAAGATGTGCTATTTTTATACTGTGGAATATTACTCAGCTATAAAGAATGTTAAACTCGAAGCCTTTATATTGAAGTGGATGCCACTCGAAGGTATACTCATAAGTGAATTAAACCAGACATACATGCATACATATCGTATAGCTTCCCTAGTATAAGAACTGAAAAGAAGAAATAGAAATAGAAAGGTATAATACAACTAAAAAGAAAGCAAGAACTTGAGCACTAGTTAATGAAAAGAGAGCAAGGAGAAGAGATAGGAAACATGACAGGGGAAACCACACAGTTATATGTAGTATATGGGTAAGGCAATGATCCTGAGAATCTTCAGAAGATTTTTGAATCAAGCAGTTAACTGGAATGATTCTCACTCTGACTAACTATATATATAGACACTTGTGAACTAAACAAATGCACTGAAGATGGGAATGTGTAATAGTAGGTTCATGCTTGGAGTAGTCTTCTGAATATGGGCTGCTTGTCATGACATGTCAGTTGCTGCCGTGCTGTCTCTCGATAGATGACTGTTCAGAAAGAAGCAGTGTTGAATGAAGGCAGGAGACAGGAAAAGGAATGATGTGGGACTGTCCTGCTACAAGGTTGTATATGGTTAGATTTCTGGACTTATGTGTAAACATAGGAATTATATAATTCTTTATGCCTATTTTAAAAATATATTTTAATTTTTTAAATGTTTTTCATCATATTGTGTAGGGACTTAAAGTTCAACACATCAATACTTGATGAAAAATACCTGTTCCATGTTATGCGTAAGATGTTTGATATTCAGACAGATAGTGAGGTTAAGCTTAACAGCCTATGCTGTATGGTAATAACAATAAGCTTCTCTTCTGGAGGATTAAGAATCTAAGTTTGCAGACCAAAATTAGAGAAAAAGGAGGGCCACAAGGAAAGCCAACATTTTGGCCCTAGCCTTTCAAGGTCAATTGACTTAGGGTATGTGAGATCTTGCACTGCAATGTCCTGTAACTCAGTAGTTTCCCAAATTTTCTGATCAAGGAGATTATGGGGCCAAAGAGGAAAGTGATCGATGATGTAGAATGTGCCTAAGAAGAGT